TAACCAGGAATAATATTTCTAAGAGGATAAAAAAATTATTTTGTCAAAATACATTTGGCAATGTTATCATTGTTTTATTATGCCACTGTACATTTATGAATGCTCTAGGCTTGCCTTTTAAAATTAATTTTGTTTTACGCAAATTATAATTTTCCAGAAAATGTGATTTATCAAGTAGCGATTTCATTACTTTTGGTGCCTGTAACATTTGAGGTTATGTTCCCACTATGCAGATGGGAAGAAGGATTGTACAGTATTCTGAAAGTGCTTGTCTGAAAATGCTTGCATGCCAGAAATTGGAAAACACCTCTGCAGGAAACACAGGAAATGGCATTAAAGCACAATTCTATCCTGGTCAGTTTAAAATGGTTTCTTCAGGTTATTGCTGAGAAGAACTAAGTAGATGGAAATCAATTTCCTGCCCAAGTGGATGTAGACTCAGCTCGTTACAACCGGAATAGTTTTAATTTAGTTCTTCTGGGCACGCAATCTGCTTCCTTACCTCAGGAATTTTTATTTTCAGTCACTAGCATATTAGATTAATATCAGAAGCGTTTGTCCAGTTTCCCATTCAGTGGTAGAGTAATTCTCATTTTAACTGATAGTTTTCCTCTGTCCAAGACTCAATAACAAAATCACAACTTTATCTGAGCCAAACTTTTTGAATTGCTATAATCACTAAAATTTTGTAATTTTAATAATTTTATTTCTACTTCTAATACTAATAATAGCTACATTTAAGTTTATATCATTAAAAAAAATCACACACAGATAAAAATATATGAATAAACATCAAAATCAATACAGTAATGATTTGAGAATGAGAAGGCCAGAGTCTAAAGTAGACCAAGAATTACAATTTTTATTTTATTTATAAATACCTGAATATATTTGTGAACTTATATGATTTTTATAGCTACCCATCCCACACAGGTGATACTGGGTGGCTTCTAAGATTAAAGCACAGAAAGCCCATTACATATAATCTGTGGTACCAGTGGTGGGATTCAAATTTTTTTACTACCGGTTCTGTGGGCATGGCTTGGTGGATGTGGCTTGGTGGGCATGGCAGGGGAAGGATACTGTAAAATCTCAATTCCCTCCCCACTCCAGGGGATGGTTACTGCAAAATCCCCATTTCCTCCCGATCAGGTGGGACTCAGGAGGCAGAGAATAGATGGGAACAGGGCCAGTCAGAGCTTGTATTTACCGGTTCTCCGAACTACTCAAAATTTCCGCTACCGGTTCTCCAGAACTGGTCAGAACCTGCTGAATACCACCTCTGTGTGGTACCCAAGGATAAACTATAACCATAACAGAAAAGTCCTGGTATCTTGACTTGCCCCTGAAACTAGTGACAAAGGAAGGTACCAGCTCAGGGATATAACAAATCTGAAAGGGCAGTTATATACCATACACTTGGTCATAATAGAGGAAATGCCAATACTTCTTTCCCTAATATTCATTTATTGTTTAATATTTCAATCCATTCCCTACCTTTCTGCTTATGGGTTGGGATGGGTTGGGTTTTAAAATTGGCTCTTTTTCTTTTCAGGGGGAGGCCATCAGGGGTGGGTTCTAATTTTTTTTACTACCGGTTCTGTGGGGGTGGCTTATTTTGTGGGTGTGGCTTGGAGGTCATGTGACTAGGTGGGCGTGGCTAGCTGATCAGAGTCATTTCTGGAAGGTCCTCGCACTTACGACCAGACCTTGCACTTACAACCCGACTCATTTGTTTGCTTTTAACACTGATCAGCTGTAGGACGGCCCTTTGAAGCTCCGCGGCAAGAGTTTAAACAGTTTTTTCCCTCTAGTCATCAGCTGGGACTCAGGAGGCAGCAATAGATTGGGGATGGGACCAAATAAAAGGTAAGAATAACGTGGGTGGGTGGGGGGGGTGGGAGGGCGGGGGGGGTTGAACCGGTTCGGTGACATCATATCATCACCGCTACCAGCTCGGCCGAACCAGACCGAACCGGGAGGAACCCACCACTGGAGGCCATACAATTCTATATCTCAGTTTATCACTTGTGCAACATATGGAAGAGTAGGAGAAACATCTCCTGTTGATGAGAGGTTTTTTACATAACACATTAATTCAAGTTTAGAATTTGCTGTGATGAGATACGGTGCTGGTTTCAAAACAAGGTTTGTCCAATACATGAAAATCATGGAGATCAGTAGCTATTAGCCTTGATACCTTTGAATGAAACGTCTGCAAAAAAACAAGCAAGCTCAGAGAGCACCAAAAATAGAAAACAGAATAACAGAGTTGGAAGGGACCTTGGAGGTCTTCTAGTTCCAACCTCCTGCTTAGGCAGGAAACCCTACACCACTTCAGACAAATGGTTATCTAATCTCTTCTTAAAAACTTCCAGTGTTGGAGCATTTAACTTCTGGAGACAAGTTATTCCACTGATTAATTGTTCTAACTGTCAGGGAATTTTTGGTAAAACAGATATCAAAAGCTAACAAATTATTTCTATAGAAAATTCAAAAGACAGCAAACAGGTAGATGACAGAGCAAAGAAAGTTTACATTTCCCAGTTGCAGGGTGTGTCTTTTCTTAGAAAGAATAAAGTTCATGGCATAAAATCAAAACAAATAACTTATTATTATTATTTTTGCCCTGAGTCACAAAGTTCCATAGGACCCCACCTCAGGATGCTAATTCTCTAATCCCATCACTTTCATAGCTGGCTGTAGGTGCTCAGCTGGCAGAATCTTTTACAAAAATTATGTTTTTGTTCTTTCATGTCCTGCATTTGTCAGAATAAATAAAGGATTACTCTTCAAACTACATTAGCATCATAAACTTACCCTGTTCCATTTCTCCTCACCCGACTGTGGCCACTGATGATATTACAATGCTCACTGAACTATTTTGGGGCTACCCACATTCCTAGAATTGCCCTAAAGACTTAAAAAAAAAAGTCTGCAAAGCATAAGGCTCACTGAGCATAAAGAATATCTGACCCACACAATTCACATTTAAACCATCCTCAGCATGATATACAGTAAGCCCAAAAAGAATGTAATTTATTTTCAATCCACAATTCTAACCTGAAGTTTTGGCACATGTTTGAATACATCTTTATTGGACTGGTAAGGATAATTTCTGGGAGTGGTTCTGAATCTTTGATATACATTTGATATGGAGCTATTATCAAATGATTGATATCAAATCAGCATGTTTACACATATATTGTAAACATTTTTTTTTCCTGGTTGACTAGTCCACACTACCCATAAACTGAGTTACAAAAGGGCTTAATTGATATATACTATAATTCCAAAATAAAATTGTAAAAAGGCTATTAAAATAGAAATAATTCTATGTTTTAGCTGAAACTGTCTTCCTATTGATTATATGCCAATCGTAAAAGCGATTGTAGTTCATGGAGATTTTATGATCTCATTCATGTTACTAATTCAAAGAACTAAAATGACTAGAGTGGATATGAGCATTTTTGTTTCATTCTAGTGAATATGTTCTTTTTAAAAAGTCTCTTACACCGTGATATTATTTCTGCAGGGAATATTGCCCCAAAATACCTACCCAAAGCAATATACTAGAAGAGGAACTGCATATGTCAGCTTCAGTGAAGGAGGATTATGAATTACAAAGTGTATTAGTAAGTCTCTAATAATCTAGAGAGCAGAAGTGCAGCAACCTAGTTGCATTTTTCTTGACTCCAGATTACTAGATTACATCTGTGACATGTAGGATGAAAATATCAGTAATTGGATTCACACATACACCAAGTCAAAATGTTTATGTTATGTACTTGTACAATATTTTATTTCTTTACTAAGAGGGAAGTTTGAATGAGTTCAGAGGATTTCCTTCTTAGTAAACAGGCAATTGGACCGTAGCCCAACCTAATCTCCAATATTTTCTACATCAAGGACCTTGCATTAAGAAAGGCAAGCATATGATAGACTCTGGATGTTATAGACTACAAATCCCACGGTCCTTTGCCCTGATGAACACCAATGAGAGCTGAAGTCCAAATCATCAGGGGGAACCAAATCATTTTCCCTGCTGCAGGGAAATTGAGAACGGCTGTTCCTAGTAAATTATCCTGTTCATAATAGTGGCTTTATCTAGCAATTTCCATTTCATTTTTTTAAATACAGGACACTTTTTAATTCTGTTGCTAATGTATTCTTCCTTCTTCTCTCTGGTTTTCTTCTCCCACCCCCTTTTTAAAAAAAAAAATCAAAACTTTTTGATTTTTTGATCAAAAATCAAAAAGATCATCAAGTTACAAATAAATCTGATCTTGACTGAAGGCCTGACCTCTGCATAGAGGTTCTGACCAGCAAGCTTACTATATCATAAATAAAATCCCTCTACAACTGCTTGCACCATTACCACCCCTCCCTCCCAAAAAAAGAATTTTGATTTATTGAGCAATAATTCCTTCCTCAGCTTATAGTTGTCCCGGCATGTTAAAATGTGTTTCCCATAGTTTCCAGCCAGCAGGGCCATAGTGCATTTTATTCAATTGTGCTTCAAAATAGCCAAGCAAAATGAATATTCAAGAACATACAGAACAAAGCAATCACACTGTCTGGGAAAATTACAGCAGTTGATTTCCTTCTGTCTGGAGAGCACCAAGTTAGGAAACATTCATTTATAATTTACAGCTTCACGGTTTTGGTTTTTTTAAAAAGTCTCACTGCATCCACTCTTGCTCCTCGGTGCGTTCCAGAGGTTTTGTGTCCAATGTTTCTTATGTTCTTCTAATCTACCTTGAAAGCACTTATTGCAGTTCACTATAGTCAAAACCAGATACACCTATCTGTTATCTATCAATGGTAAGTTTTTTTTGTTTGTGCCGGGACAAATAATCATTGTATTTAACAATAAAAATAGGAATTAGAGAATCAGCAAAAGTTTTAAAGTGGAGAAAGGAGGAACGATTGTAAGAAAGATTTAAGAAAGTTTTACATTTAACAATCTACTCAAAGAAAAACAGACGTACTGTACATACCCCATTCCAGCAAAAGCTTCAGGCTTTGGATGTTCACTCAAATTGTAGCTGTCTTTATGAATCACTTTGTGGTGCTGCTGTTGCTTTTCTGGAAAGAATTGAAACAGCTCCTCCCACCGTAGATGAAACTGATTTATGTTTCTACAATCTACACCCATCTCTTCTAGTGTCCTCTAAGTAGCTGCATTTGGCTTTATGAAATTGTGGGCTTTTGATGAGCAGCTGAGAATAAAATATAAACCATCCCCAGACACTAATAATTTCAGGAACACAACACCTTTTTCTGGATGCAAATATGAAGCTACTTTACATTTTATTAACCTTGCGTGCTTAAATGGTTTGTGTTGTCTTCTTTTTCCATTTGTCAGTTGGTGATTTCCCCCCCCCCCTTTCCTTTTTTTTGTATGGCACCTGAGTCACATTGTTTGAGGTGGGTGCCCTCTAAATCAGTGGTGTGTTTCAAAAAATTTTACTACCGGTTCTGTGGGTGTGGCTTGGTGAGCGTGGCATTGCTTTGTGGGCGTGGCTTGGCGGGAGTGGCAGGGGAAGGATACTGTAAAACCTCAATTCCTACCCCACTCCGGGGGAAGATTACTGCAAAATCCCCATTTCCTCCCAATCAGCTGGGACTTGGGAGGCAGAGAATAGATGGGGTCGGGGCCAGTCAGAATTTTTACTACCGGTTCTCCGAACTACTCAAAATTTCCACTACCGGTTCTCCAGAACTGGTCAGAACCTGCTGAAACCCACCTATGCTCTAAATGCTTCAATAAGTAGTCTGCTTCTGCTCTTCAGTTATTCCTATTCAGCCTGTACATTTGTAATAGAACTGATAAACGTGAATGACAATTTGAGATTATGTCACAATGTAACACCTGGAAGAAGTGTATGTATTAATGGGACACCAGGGGTTGTAAAATTATATGGGTTGGTTGGAGGTTAGAGTGGAAGAAGAGAAAATAATACTTTACTGAAGGGTTCTGTGCCTGTGTCTGGTCCGTGTTTGGTTGCAGGCAGGGGTGAAATCTACTTACCTTCCTTACCGGTTCGGAAGCACATGTGCCATGCGCATGCGCACACCTGCGCATGTGCAGAAGGTAAAAAAACATTACTTCCTGGTTAAAACCAGGAAGTAATGACACCCAGGCAGCGATCGCTACCGGGTCACCAAACCACAGGGAAAAATCACTACCAGATCGATCCGGGAGCATTTCACCCCTGGTTGGAGAGTATGGTTAGCTGTTATAAGTAAGTGTCATTATACCTATATATAAGACCACTGCTCCACAAGCTGCATTGTTTACTTTTGGATGCAATTCATGATGATAGTTATCACACACAGAGCTCTACATGGCATAAAACTTACCGTATTTTTCGGTGTATAAGACGCACCTTTTTACCCCCAAAAAGGGGGTGAAAATCTGGGTGCGTCTTATACGCCGAATGTAGCCCCGCTCACCCACCGGCCCCACCCTTCGGCCATTTTCGGGCAGTTCCAGGCGGTGGGGATCTGAGGAACAAACCTCTTCGGGACGGTCGGGGGGGGGGGGGGATTGTGGCACCTGCCTTGTTTCCGAAGCTGCCAGGCGAATTCCCACCCCCCGACCATCCCGAAGAGATTTGTCCCTCAGGCTGTGCTCTGTCCCTCCCCCCAGAGCATGCGAGGGGTCTCTTTGGGGGAAAGGGAGTAGTCCCTGCACCTCTCGCTTTTAGAAGGAGGAAGAGGGCGTCGTCGTAAAGCAGCGCCACCTTAAATTCTGGTAGGCAGATGTAGAATTCTTGTTTTCTTGTTTTCCTCCCCCAAAATTAAGGTGCGTCTTATACTCCGGTGTATCTTATACACCGAAAAATATGGTAATAAATTGAAGGATCACCTATCTCTCATAGTTTCTGGCCAGGATCTCATTGAGTAAGCAGTGCCCTCTAGTGGTACCCATTAATGTGCCTTCTCTGTCACAGCACAAGCAGATATCGCCAAGAGATTCAAACTACCCCATAGTTTGCCTCCCTTTAGACAAGTTCTGAAACTTGGCTCTTTCTCTTTTCCTTGGAGTAGGGTGGGAGTTGGGTCCCTTTAAGTTATGTGTTGTAAGGAAACAGTCACCATTTAGCAAACAGACTCTCCACCTAAGCACCACTACCAGGAGCTGCTTATGTCCCACAAAGCTTTATATTGAGAAAGTACTGGCAAACCTGACTATTTTTTTCTCAACTGGGCAGATAGGCTTCTGTAGACACTAGAGTTATTTGGTGCGGAGAAATTCTGTTCTGGTAGATTTCAGCAATCAGGTCTGTAATAGTGAGCCCTATATTTTTAACCATTCTTTCTTTCCGTGTCCTTCAACAACATTGACCAGATTTAGCTGTTCCCATAACATGATTGATTGGGTAAATTTAATTTAATCCTATATATGACTACATTTGGTTTCTGGGTAAATTTGACCCCCTGGTTTAGTTGACTGATGAGTATAACTATGTTTTGCTACAACACCCTCATTAACCTAAGGGAACAAGGTTATTATGACGTGGGCATCAATTTCAATGTTAAAATGCCACATGATGGCATAAATGGCACATTTGGCATAAGTGGCATATGATGTATGGACATGCAATGATAAACAGTAGGATAGGAAGTCTCCTTGCTCCTTGAAAGATTTCTCTATTGAAAGAAGTTCTCCTAGTTTATCACCATTTGCCATCAACCTTTGTCTTGCATTATGCCAGAGATCTTTGCACAAAGCTTCTGATATTTCTACTGATTCCTATTATTTGTAAGTATTTGAATGATCCAGTCATGTGGCAAGGAGTCCAGGGTCTTCTTATAATCATTCCAGGCTATATTCAAGTTGATCTTCCTTGTCTTATGGTTCTCCAAAAGCATCTTGTTAATTAGGAGCTGATATTTTGTCCCTCTGCTATTTGTGCAGTTTCCTTTCTGCTCAGATTTTCAACTAGATGCTATTGTACTACATTGGCTACCACACCAGTTAGCAATTTTATAGTTGTTGGTAAGCAGGTAATTGGCCTGTACTTGTCTGGTGCTTCCCCTTTCATTGGATTTTTCATGATCATTTGGATTTTGCTAGATGTTAACCAATCTTCAGTATCATCTCCTTAAAGTATGTGGTTAAATTGCTTGGTGATGAGTGGGTACAGACTTGTCAGACACTGCAACCAAAATCGAAGCAGTTCATATTCACCATATTCATTTTGGTGCTGATCAATTCTTGATCTTCCTTGCCTTTCCCCCCACCATTTCTACTGCAATCATCAGCACTTTGAAGAAATAATAGAATCCTTTTGTGCATATGGACTACTCAGAGGGCTGAAAAAGTTATTTTTGACTGGTCCTTGCACTTTTGACCAGTCCTCGAACTTACGACTGTCCTCACATTTTACGTTTTTTGCCCTATCTTGTCACCATGGTGAAGAGAAGCAGTTGTGAAATGAGTGACATGATTGTTAAGAATGCTGCATGGGCATAAATGTGAGGATGGTCATAAGTGTGAGGACCAGTCAAAAGTTCGAGGACCTGTCAGAAATGACTTTTTTCAGCCCTCTGAGTAGTCCCTATACACATAGCCATGGCCACCCGGTCACATGACCAGCTAGCTACGCCCACCCAGTCACATGATCTCCAAGCCATGCCCACAAAATAAGCCACGCCCACAGAACCAGTAGTAAAAAAATTTAGAACCCACCCCTGGCTTAGGGTGATTTGCAAGCCTGCTATAATGGTTTAACCTTTTTTTGTGTGAATGCTTACTATATTCAGTACAGTCTAGATAAATCTCCTGATTTAGCAATATATGTAAATGCAGAATGTTACCTTTGAATTGAAAGGAACCCTTTCCTTTTTTTATTATGTTTTTTTTAAAATTTGATTTATATGCTGCCCTTCTCTGGAGACTCAGGGCGGCTTACAATGTGCTCAGCAATAGCCTTCATCCTTTTGTATATTTATACAAAGTCAGCTTATTGCCCCCACAAACTGGGTCCTCAATTTACCTACCTTAGAAAGGATAGAAGGCTGAGTGAACCTTGGTCCTTGGTGAGATTCGAACCTGCAGTAATTGCAGGCAGCTGGTCTTAATAACCAGCTTAATAACAGGGTGCCTTAGACCACTGTACTACCAAGGATGTTGATCAGTATTCTGATAACTCTGATGCTTGCTCTAAAGAGTTTTATGTTGAAATGACAGAAATAAAATTCAGGCCTTAGTAGGCCTTCAGGGTTGTGGAAACCTCTGATAAGAAGTCATAGGTATGCAGCTGAACATGTGATGATAACCACAATCTGATGATTGCTGCTTACTTACTTAGAAGTGACATAATAGCAGTAGTCCAATATCTAAGGGGCTGCCACAAAGAAGAGGGGGTCAACCTATGTACTCTACAAAGCATCTGAAGACAGGATAAGAAACAATGAATGGAAACTAATTGAGGAGAGAAGCAACCTAGAACTAAGGAGAAATTTTGTGACAGTTAGAACAATTAATCAGTTGAACAACTTGCCTCCAGAAATTGTGGATTTTCCAACACTGGAAGTTTTAAAGAAGAAATCTGGATAACCATTTGTCTGAAATGGTATGTGGTTTCCTTCCTGAGCACAGGGTTGGATTAAAAGACTTCCAAAGTCCCTTCCAACTCTGTTATTCTGTTACTCCAGCATGGTGCATTCAGCAGCTGTTGATGATGGCTGGGATAAGGTCTTATCTTTTCCAAGAAATTATGTAGTTGAAGCCCTGGAATTATGCAATGATGTAGGGTTGCCTAGAACATGTTTTGATTACAACACATTTCATTGTTTGTTTGAGTTAATTTGGTTAACAGAACCCCTTTTACTTCCTGCTGCTCACTCAGTATTTTAAAAAGTCACAAAGCTTTCATTATATGTGGGGCCCAAACGTTGCAAAAATAGGAAGCTCTTAGTTTGTCCATCTACTGGAATAGATATTCCTCATTTCCTCCTTTCTTTGATTTACATGGTTGGTAGCAACATAAAACTTTCAAAATCAGGAAATTACTTCTG